TTAATGTACTAGGTGTTTTTCTTTTGTTTCTTTTGTATGTTCTTCCCCCTATGTATATCCCCTGTTGTCACTGTATTTTATTTTGGTACTCTGCATCTTGTATATACATTTTTCTATTTTGAGGAGGGGAAGGGAAATAAAAAAATGCTGAAACAAGAACTCAAGATGACCCATTGTAACAATGAGACTCACAAGACACTATGTTGGAAATGAACTTTAAAACTTCAAGGGAGAGGTGGGGGTGTCGGGAATCAGGGAGGTGGGGAGGGAACAATTAGTAGGACAAAAACAAAGGGTAACAATGCTCTACAGGAAATGTACTCATTACTTTCCTCATGTAACTGTAGACCCTCTGCTCAGCATCTTTGCAACAAAATGTTTTCTAAAAAAGAATTATTTTCCTGCTGTGTGCCAATACCCATGCTGGTAGCCCTAGTTACTAAGGAGGTTGAGATTTGAGAAAGGAGATTTGAAATGGGCCTCAGAAAGAAAGCTTCTGAGAATCTTCTCTGCAATTAACTACTAAAAATTCAGAACTGGAACTTGTCTAAAAAGGTAGAATGCTAGGGACAGGGTCCAATCCTGATTTCATGCCCTAGTACTACATGTGTATATGTGTGATATGTGTATATATATACATGATACATTTCTCTACAGATAGGCAGAAACTTTTACAATTTATGCAGTTCCATATGTCATTTCTTGCCCATATTTCCTGGGCAACAGAAGTCCTGTTTATAACTAATTACCTGCACACAAATCTTCAAGTACTTTTCCTATAGTAGTTTCAAAGTGTCACGTCTCACATACCTTTGATCCAATCCAGATTGATTTTAGTAATGGTGAGAAAAGAGAAGTAGAGTCCATCTTCTATATGTACATACTCAGGTTTCCCATCAAAATTTTTAAGAGACTCTCTTTGTTCTAGTGTATGTTTTTACTCTGGTAAAATTAAGATGGCTATAGCTATGTGGATTTATTCCTGGGTCTTCTCTCCTGTTCTACTGGTCTCCAGGTAGCTCAAGCTTGCCTGCAAAAGAAATTCTGGTGAAATTAATCCCAGTGAAATTACTTTCCAGGTGTCTCTCTATGAGCTTATTGCCTGGAAGAAATCTTCTCTCAAGGGAAAGTTTTTCACATGAGTTCACCCTTCCACAATCTTCCAACCTATCCATAGAAGATTAACCAATTCCTGAGATGTTCTCTCTTTCCCATTGCTCTTACACAAAACTTCTTGTTATTGTTGCTGATCTCTCAAATTGGTCTCAAATTGCCATCCTCCTTATTTCTATTGATCAAAGTAGTTAGGCTTGCAATTAGGAGCCATGATACCCAATATTGAACCAATACTTATAAAATGTCAAAGTACTAAGCATAATTCTACATAACATTGAGTGTGATTTCCATTCCTCCCTTTTCCCCTTACCATAGAACTTTCATGCTCTGCCTCTAGGAGCTTCCCAGAAAACTATTTCTATCTTCAGTTTGACCACAAGCATCAGAAGCTAAGAGTTTGCTCTTCCAAAGACTCTTTATTTAAGGTCTATTAAATATTATTACTACAGCCTTCTGTTCTGATGTCATTCCATTCTCTAGTAAATCAGTCAAATAAGTTAATATTAGTGCTATAAACAGACATTGGGAAAATCACAAAATTTGGACCAGTCTTCACTTACTGAGTTCCATTGTGGCTATCCTAATGTTGCAAACTCCAGTTCAAATGCAAGTCAATGGAAGTGCTGCAATTGTTCCATACAGGAATCAGATGATCAAGACAGCCTTTAAGGGAAGGAGGTAGTATTGAAAACAATAGTATTAGTCAGTTCTCCAGCTAATTGATTCCCTTTTTTCAGGACCATGAGGAAATGAGTGGTATGGCAAACAGTTTCTGTGATACAGATAATGAGGCTGGATTGTAAAACCTGGACCTGGACCAGAACCCCTCAGCCCACCATTGTACCCTTCACTGTCACTCAAGACATCTTCCTCTTTGCCAAAATCACATCTTAAGCATCTCATAGGAAACATACATCCTAGGCCACTAACTACCTTGTAGACAATGAATTCTCAGAATTCATTGGAAGCCAATAGATTCTTTTCCTAAACTGCCATAAAATGCCTCATAAGAAGAATTATTTGACTTTCCTACTGAATCTGGTCTAAAAACAGATGGAATAGGACCTGCTTTGTCAATATTGGAGGAAAAGATTCTCAGTCTAGATCTTGAGACTCCAAACTGACAATCCTAAAGAGTTTTATGTCACAAGTCTGCCACAAGAGGGCAAACCAACCTCACAATCAACAAAGCCCAAAAATTCAGATCATGAAAGACATGAGAGCAGGAGTGAGCTTCCTTCTTAGCAACCTGAGTCTGGCAAGGTTGCTGCACAGTTATCCTGGGGCTCATGTGCCTGAGACACTACTTGCATTGCCTTGGTGCTCTGCCTGTTTCTGAATATTTTCTACTTTATTCGATCTGTTATAAGCACACCCACATAATAATGCTCCTTTTTACTAGGACTCTTGGAAGGGAGTGAAAACTCTAGTTCAACAGTGGACTGGATGTGTGAGAACAAGTACTGCTTTCTGAGGTGCCACAAGCCATGTGCACACAGTCAGCGTGAGTTGGCTTTGTAAATTCTCAGTAGGACAGAACACACTGAAGGCCTAACCTTCTAAGAGATTCAGTGCAAGATAACTGAAGTGACTTATGTGAAAGTAACTGGAGATGGAAAGAATTTGAAATTTTAGTGCTGTCACAGATGCTGTTTTTCAGAATCCTTAACAATGATCAAGAAATAATATAGACATAAAATTTATACTTGATTGCCCTAGTGTGTAAGAATTTACTTGGATGAGGGACATTTGCTGACTTTCCTCATGACTGGTGAGAACAAGAGAAAGTCAGCCAGCCCCACAGTACAGGCAAAACTCTGAGCTCCTGATGACTCAGTCTCGCAACCTGGTCATGGCCTTTCAGCTGGGTCCAATTCCAGTGAGTGGTGAGCATATTCCTTCTGAATCAAGACTACCACAGGGCAGGGCCTTTGTTCTCCCAGGTTCTCAGCTCCATCACTCTGGAGTGTAACTTCTTCTTTTATACCCCAGAGCCAGAGTGTCAGACCTGGACAGAGGCTCCTGATCCAAATCTCTGTAGTTTATTCCAGTGCCTGAAAGTTTAGCTCAATCTTCACATCTCCACACTTGCTGAAACCACCTGAATAATTAGACAAATGATGTTTATTTGCAATTTGGTCCTGGCCAACTTCACCACAGTAAGATATCCATGACAACTGCTTGCCTCATCCCACTTAGATGCATTGTGCTATTTCACTAAGACTCTCAGAAATCTTTCAGTTTGGGGTGGACATGATGAAGGCAAAGATGGCTTCTCTTGCTGTGAAACTTGGATAGGTCCAAGGAAAAGGCATGCTATGATATCTGATTGATCAAATTTCCATCCATGATTTATCCAGATTCAAAAAGTTTCTTCAGAGATATTTTTACTGGTTTGAGAACAAATCAAGAGCCCCTCTCTCTCTCCCTCCCCCCCTCTCTCCTTCTCTATCTTCTCTCTCTCTCTTTCCAAGAGATGTAAACAGCAATACTTGTATATGAGCAGACATGATATTTCCACTCATTTGGAAATAAAAGACAGGGAATGTATGGCCGGGTAGCAGTAGTTTTTATTGAAGTAATCATGTCCAGCATCAACACTTATCACTTCATCCTGATGAACTATGATAAGTAATAGTAAATGGCACAAAACATGAGAGGTTTACCATCAGAAAGCATACAGTCTATTTAGATACTGTAAATAAAAGACACCTAAAGTTTCAATGGTGGTAAATTTATGTGTCATTATTGAGAAATCAGAGTAAATATGGATATGCAGATATTTCTTCATCTTATATTGTAATGGCCATGACTAAAACTACCACAAAACACTTTTGAATACATTCAGTATGTTTCATATTATCTGTTTAGATAAAGAAATTAAATTGAAAGTTACATTGCCTCACATTTATACTCTTACCTGCTCAGTAGGCTGAGATGCAAGGATTGCAATTTGAAGCCATCCCAGGCAAGAAAGTCCATAAGACTCTTACTTCCAATTAATCATCCAAAACCTTGAAGCAGTATAGCAGAGTGGTAGCCTTGAGCACAATAATCTAAGAGAGGGCACCCAGGCCCTGAGTTCATGCCCCAAGAAGAGCATACACAGAGAGACAGACAGATAGACAGGCAGACAAACAGACAGATGAAGCATTTTATTCAGATGCCAATGGCTAGTACCTATCAACCTATGTGCTCTTTAACATGAGATATGAGAATAATTGCTCAAAGACAGCCTGCATAAGAAAGTCTACAAGATTCTTATGTCCAATTAATAACTAAAATGCCAGAAATGGAAGTGTGCCTCATGGGGTAGAACATTAACCTTGAAGGTAAAAGCTAAAGGGCAGCACCCAGAAACTGAGTTCAAAAACTAAGTGCAAAACCTAAAAAACTAATTGCAAAACCTAAAAGAAGGAAAGAAGGAAGGAAGGAAGGAAAGAAGGAAGGAAGGAAAAAAGGAAGGAAGGAAGTTAGGGAGGAAGGAAGGGAAGAAGGAAGCAGGGAAGGAAGGAAGGAACGAACGAACGAAGGAAGGAAGGAAGGAAGGAAGGAAAGCAAGAAAGAAAGAAGCAAAGAGGAAAAGAAAGAAAACAATTTTCAATGTATAAGTACTTGGTATGGAAAAGAGAAAGTGACTTTTTTCCAGACAGAATTATTGATAGTGCATCAAAATCTAAGTAGAAACAAGAATATGTTTCAATATATTTATGAAATACTCTATAAGTTGCTTGTGTGCATTATACATTTTGAAAATAGACTTTAAAATGTCTTCTACAGTCAAATGTCCTCCAGGGAGAATATTCTCTGCAGACAAATTCAGGTTACCCTTGTCTGGTGTGGAAGACAAGCCTGTGGTGACTCACTAATGATGCAGCTGTGCCCAGCCCTGCCCACCCCTTGCTGATTTCCATGTGACCAGAGCACAGCCCACTGCCCTGAGCACTTCTTCATAGACTGCACACACCCTGTGCAGCAGTCAGTGCCTGTCAGCACACAGCATGGACATGAGGGCCCCTGCTCAGCTCCTGGGGCTCCTGCTGCTCTGGCTCCCAGGTAAGGAAGGACAATGCTGGGGAAAAACTCAGCCTTGTATAATCAGGACTGTGTGGCACTTCAGGGAAGGCTTCTCATTACGTGATTATCAAGGTAGATATTTGTTTTTATGTTTCCACTGCCAGGTGCCAGATGTGACATCCAGATGACCCAGACTCCACCCTCCCTGTCTGCATCTCCAGGAGACACAGTCACCATCAATTGCAGGGCCAGTCAGGGCATTAACAAATATTTAGCCTGGTTTCAGCAGAAACCGGGGAAACCTCCTAAGCGGCTGATCTATTACACATACAATTTGGACTCTGCGTTCCCATCCAGGTTCAGTGGCAGTGGATCTGGGACAGATTATTCTCTTACCATCAGCAGCCTGCAGCCTGAAGATGGGGCAACTTATTACTGTCTGCAGTATCATAATTACCCTCCCACAGTGATAAAAGTCATAACAGAAACCTCCCAAGAAAGCAGAAGTGAGAGGCTAGGCTACCCCAGCTGCTCCTGCAGCCTCTACCTGCTGACAGTGCTTCTCAGATTCATCTCTGAGGGTCGCTTGAAAATTTTGGTAGAAGTGACTGGGAAGAATTCTCTCTACTCTACCTTTCAGTCAGGAGTAGACAGAGTTTATGTATGTCAATGCCTCTCCTGATTCAGGAGAGCCTAAAAACTGTGGCATGGGAGGAGTCTGTGAGAGCAGTAATTTGGGTTCATTTGTAAAGTAGAAAGTAGCTAGCTAATCCAACATGGTTATTTTTAATACAAGAAATTTGTTCTGAGCTACTGCCATTCCAAGACTGGGATATGTTATTCAGTAAAGCTAAGCAGAGAAATGTTCCATCAGACCCCAGATCATCTACCTGTGAAGATGGAGGTCTCCTCACCTAGGTCCTTGTCCTGTCTAGACACCCAGGGGAGGTGTCAAATCTGCTTCTAGACCCCAGCAGGTGACCTCAAATCCTCCCCTCTGCCCCAGAGTCTGCCTGCAGGTTCAGCGCATTCTAAAGCAGACTCTTCTTGAGGTTCATTTTTCCCTATATTTAAATGCTTTACTGTGTTTTAAATGCCTTGCCGAGCATTTGTGGCTCATGCCGGTAATCCTAGCTACTCTGGAGGTAGAGATCTGAGGATTATGGTTAAAAGCCAGCCAGAGAAATAAAGTCTATGAGACTCTTATCTCCAATAAACCACTAGAAAACAAGAAGGGCCACTGTGGCTCAAGCTGTAGAGCACTCTCCTTGATCTGAAGAGTACAGGGACAGAGCCCAGGCCCAGATTTCAATCAGAGATCAGTGAAGTACTTTACTTTTTTATATATTTTTATTGTAAAGATACTGTAGAGAGGGAATAAAGTTATATGAGTAAGGTAATGAGTCCATTCCCTATCAACCATTGTTACCCCTCCTTTGTTTTTCCCTACCATCCCTTTTCTCCCCACCTCCCCAACTCCTCTCTCCCCACACAAAGTTGTAAAGTTTTCAACATAGTGCCTTGTACAGCTCACTGTTAAAGTGAGTTAACCTGTACCCTTATTTCAGCATTTTGTTATTTCCCTTCCCCTCCCCAAATTACAGAAGTGTATATACAAGATGCAGGCACCAGAATCAAATACAGTGAAAACAGGGGTCATACCATGGGGGAAGACCATGCAAAAGAAACCAAAAATCACATAGTACATTATAAGTACATTAAAAACAACATCAAGAAAGATAAAATCTCTTGTGTCCCTATCTTGGAGTTCATTTTGCTTAGCATCAGCAGTAATAGTCGACTTTTCACAGTGATATGAGCCATACCATAAACCTTCAGTGAAGCAGAAATGAGAGCCTAAGCTGCCCCAAATGCTCTTCCTGTGTCTCCACCAGCTAACACAGTTTCTCACATGCAACCTGGCTCTGAACACTGTTGCAAGCTTTTGATTGAACTTTCTTCAAATGATCCTCTGTATCTACATCTCTTTCTCCTCCTCTGCCCCAGAAACATGGCCATGGACATGAATCTTCTGATATGAAGGCATCCTTTGGTATTCACACAGTAAAACTTAAGCCAGCCGTGATTCTCCAAGCAGGAATTGTTTTAATATAGGAAATGAGTCTCATCACTAGCTTCCTAACTCCTGAGGTAACCAGTGAAGTTGGAACTAGGAGTATGGGATTCTCTGATTTCATGAAGCTGCCCTAGGGTCTGCATAATCCTGTTATTCTCTACCTTGTAAAAAAAAAAAAAGCCATGGGAGGCTGCTGATGCTCTCACCTGCCCCAGCAACCTCTCCAGGTGATGCTGTAGGCCTCAGAACTGAGGTGTCAGCCTGCTTATGTCAATAAATACCAAGGTCTTTCCTGTTTTTCAAATATAATGAAAAGACCCCATGTGATGCAACTTTCATGAAACCAGAGATGGGATAAGGATTTCAAAAATGGGCTTCCACAAGCAATCCTAATGATCATAATGATGGATTGAGATACCTGACAATCCAGAATTGTTTCTTTTTCCAAACTCTTAGAAATATTCCACCTAAGTGTAGGCCCTAGAATTCACTTCCATTTGCTTCTAAGTTTTGTCTGCCAATCTGGGATCATAGGGAAAAAAAACTTCATTATTCTTGGGGGAAACTACTAGAAGTTGGGAATTGTGTTGTTCATGATGCTACACAGCAGCAATAAGCAATTGAAAGAACTTTCTTGGAGCTGGGAAGGTGGCTCAGTGGTAGAGCATTTGCCTTGCATGCATGAGGCCCTGGGTTCGATTCCTCAGCACCACATAAGCAAAAAGCCGGAAGTGGCGCTGTGGCTCAAGTGGTAGAGCGTTAGCCTTGAGCTGAAGAGCTGAGGGACAGCGCCCAGGCCCAGAGTTCAGGCCCCACGACTGGACCCCCCCCCAAAAAAAAAGAACTTTCTTATTTTTATTTTCTATTTTTTCCCCAGTCATGTAGCTTGAACTCTGTGCCTGGGTGCTATCTCTGAGCTCCTTTTGCTTGAGGCTAGTGCTCTACCACTTGAGACACAACACCACTTCCAACCTTTTATGTGATAAATTGAAGATAAGAGTCTTACAGAATTTCCTGCACTGGCTGGCTTTGAACCATGATCCTCAGATCTCAGCTTCCAGTGTAGCTATGATTACAGGTGGGAGGCTCCAGTGCTCAGCAAAAGATTATTTGTTTGTTTGCTTGTTTGTTTGTTTAATTTGCTGGTCCTGAGGCTTGAACTCTTGGCCTGAGAGCTGTCCTAGAGTTCCTTTTATCAGGGCTACCAGTCTACCACTTGAGTCACATCATCACCCCAGAATGAACTTTCTTAATAAATACCACAATGTATAAAAATGGAAAACAAATAACTTAGTTTAAAAATTATTTTCCTGGGCTGGGAATGTGGTTTAGTGGTAGAGTGCTTGCCTTATATTCATTTGATTCCTCAATATGACATACACAGAAAAAGCCAGAAGTGGCACTGTGGCTCAAGTGGTAGAGTGCTAGCCTTGAGCAAAAGAAGCTCAGGGACAATACCAGGACCATGAGTTCAAGCCACAGGACTGCCAAAAAAATTATTTTCCTGATGTATGACAATGACTCAATCCAGGATTCCTAGCTACACAGGAGGTTGAGATCTGAGGATGAAGGTTTGAAGCAAGCTGGGCAAGAAAGCCTGTGAGACACTCATTTCCAATTAACTACCAAAAACTCAGAAGTGGTGATTGGCTAAAAGGGTAGAGTGCTAGCCTTGAGCAAAAATGAACATCAGAGACAGCATCCAAACCCTGAGTTCACACCCTAGTACTGGCAGAAATACATGTACATATACACACACACACGTATATACACACACACACACACATACGCATTTTCCTACTGATATGCAGAAACATTTACATTTCATGCAGTCCCATGTGTCATTTCTTGCCCATATTTCCTGGGCAACAGGAGTCCTGTTTATGAATAACTACCTGTGCCCTTTATCTTCAAGGATTTTTTCCTATAGTAGTTGAAAAGTTTCACATCTCACATTAATAACTTTGATCCATTTTGGACTGACTTTTGTAATGGTGAGATTAGGGAAGTAGAATTAGTCTTCTATATGTAGTCATCCATGTTCCCATCACCAAGTTTTTATGAGACTCTCTTTTCTCACGTGTATGTTTTAAAGCTGGTATAGCTTTGTGGGTTTATTTCTAGGAGGGTCTTCTTTTCTGTTGCACTGATCTCCAGGTAGCTCAAGCTTGTCTGCAAAAGGAATTCTGGTGAAATAAATCCCAGTGAAATGAACTTCCAGGTGTCCCTCTTTGAACTTGTTACCTGGAGGAGATCTTTGCTCAAGGGAAAGTTTTCCCCATGAGTTCACTCTTTCATGATCTTGCACCCTTTCCATGGGTGTTTAGACAATTCCTGAGATGCTCTCAGCGTATCTTTCCCATTGCCCTGACACAAAACTTCACGTTAATGGTAATAATCCCTCAAATTGGTTCAAATTGTCATCTTCCTTATCTCTATCAAAGTACTTGGCCTTGCAGTTATGAGCCACTACACCCAACATATACATTATTAAAATCCCAAAATATAAGGCATAATTCTATATTACATTGAAGGTGATTTCCATACTTTCCTCTTCCAGTCAGTATGGACCCTTAATGATCTGCCTCTAGAATGTTTCCAGAAAACAATTTCCACCTTCAGTTGGACCACAAGAGTCAGAAGCTAAGCCTTTGTTCTTCATAAGGTGCTATTTAAAGACTATTAAATATGATGACTTCCTAATTCTTACATCATTCTAGCCTTTGGTAAGTCAGTCAAATAACTGAATATTAGTGATATAAGCAAGACCTTATAATTATAATTATATAACTAAATATAATTATAATTATATAGTTATAATTGTATGGGGAAGGAATTGGAAAAGGAGAGACTTTGAAATTTTAGTGCTATCCAGAACCTGCTTTTCAGAGTCCTCAGCAATGAGCAAGACACACAATAAACCTAAAATTTACACACTTGATCATCATGTCCTCCTTATGTGTCTAAGAAAATATGCTGGCTTAGAGTAGACTCTGGATGAAGGACATTTGCTGACTTTCCTCATGACTGGTGAGAATAGCAGAGAAGTTAGCCAGCTGCACATACCAAGCAAAACTCTCATCTCCTGATGACTCAGTCTCTCCACCTGGTCTTGGTCTTTTGTCTGGGTTCAATTCCAATGAGTGGTGAGCATTTTCCTTCACTGAATCCAAAACTACAAAGGGACAGGAACTTTGTTACCCCAAGTTCTCAGTTCTAACACTCTGGAGGGGGACGGCTTCTTTTATAGACCAGAGCAAGAATGCCAGCCCTGGATAGACACTCCTGATCCAAATCTCTCCAGTTTCTTCCAATGTCTGAAAATTGAGGTCAGCCTTCACATCTCCACACTCAGGGAAACCACATGAATAATTACAAAAATGACTTTGGGGCCTGACTTGTTCCTCCCCCACCACAGTAAAGGGGTGCATGGTTTCTGCCTTCTTCATCCTACTTGGATGCATTGTGAGGTATTACTAAGATTCTGAGTTCCTAGACTCTGGGATGTACATGATGAAGGCAAAGATGTCATCTCTTGCTATTAAACTGGACTGAACTGTCCAATGAAAAGGCATAATTTCTATCCATTTTTATCCAAGATGTTTCTTCAGGGACATTTTTACTGGTTTGTGAAGAGATCAAGAGTTTCTTCTAAAGATGCAAACAGCCATACTGGTTTCTTGGCAGCCATGATGTTTCCACTCATTGGGAAAGGATAAAAGACAAGGATATGTATGATTGTGTAGCAGTGATTTTTGTTGAAGTATTCATGTCCAACTGTGAGTAGTACTATCAACTGGTGCAAAGGTGACAATATATGAGAGGTTTCAGATTAGGAGAAAGTGTAGTCTATTTAGATACTGGGGATAGAAGACACATAAATTTTCCGTGGTAGCAAATTTATGAGTCATTATTGAGGAACCAGAGTGAAATTTTGCCAATATCAAGAAATCTAAAAACAACAGATGCTGGAGGGGATGTGGCCAAAAGAGAGCACTACTACACTGTTGATGGGAGTATAAACTTGTTCAACCACTCTGGAAAACAGTATGGAGGTTCCTCCAAATACTCCACTTAGAGCTCTTCTATACCTAGCAATCCCACTGTTAGGCATTTGCCCAAACAAGCTCAAACAAGGCCATACTAAAGCAACCAGCACAACTATGTTTATCGTAGCATTATTCACCATAGCTAAGACATGGAACCAACCCAGATGCCCCTCAGTAGATGAATGGATCAAGAAAATGTGGTATATATACACAATGGAGTTCTGTGCTTCCATCAGAAAGAATGACCTTGCCCCATTTATAAGGAAATGAAAAGACTTGGGAAAAATCATATTAAGTGAAGTAAAAACAGGCCCAAAAAACATAGGCTCCATGGTTTCCCCCATTTGTGATAATTAGTATATGTCTCAGATAGTCCTAGAAGAGAATCACAATAGCTCAATAACTATGTACATAGGATGCTAAGTGAGGCTGGGCAGGTGGCTCAGTGGTAGAGTGCTTCCCTTGCATTCATGAAGTTCGATTCCTCAGCACCACATAAGCAGATAAAGCCAGAAGTGACGCTGTGGCTCAAGTGGTAGAGTGGTAGTCTTCAGCTGAAGAGCTAAGGGACAGTGCCCAGGCCCAGAGTTCAGGCCCCACGGCCGACAAAACAACAACAACAAAAAAGATGATGCAAAGTGAAATGTACTCCATGATATGGAAGCAAGAGGTTTTTCTTTGTTGTTGTTTTGGTTCTTAATGTACTATGTGAAGTTACTTCTTTTTCTGGCATTTTTCTCTTTTTCCCCCTATGGTATGATTTTGGTACCCTGTTTGTTGTATATGCATTTATCTGAATTAGCCAAGGGACAGGGAGCAACAAAATGGTGAGATAAAGGACAAAAGGTAAACCAACACAACAGCAATATTCACAAGACAACAGGGGATGTGGGGTGGAGTGAAAGTGGGAGAAAAGCTAGAGAGGGAGTAACAATGTTTGACAAGAAGTGTACTCACTACCTTACATCTGTAACTGTAACCCCTCTGTACATCACCTTGACAAAAAAATTAAAAATAACTTGCTTCAACTTACATGGTAATGGTCATAACTAAAACTACCACAAAATAATTTTCAATAGGTACAGTATGTTTCATATTATCTTTTTCTTTACAGAAATTAAACAGCTTGACACCTGTACCTCATGCTTGTAATTCTAGCTACTCAGTAGGCTGAGATCCAAGGAGTACAATTTGAAGCCAGCACAGACAGTTAAGTCCATGAGATTCTTATTTCCAATTAATCATGCAAAATCTAGAAATGGACCTGTGGCTCAAGTGGTGTAGCAGAGTGGTAGCCTTGAGCACAAAATTTCAGGGACAGTATTCAGGTCTTGAGTTCATGTCCCTACACACATACACACAGAAATGAAACATTTTAATTTTAGTCAGGTGCCCATGGCTAATACTTGTCATCCTACCTACTCATGAGTGTGAGGTCTTAGAATGGCTCTTCAAAGACAGCCTGCACAAGAAATTTCATGAGACTCTTTTTTTCTAATTAACCAACAAAACATCAGAAATAGAAGTGTGGCTCAAGTGGTAGAGCATTACCTTGAGAGAAAAAGCTAAGAGACAGAACCCAGACCCTGAGTTCAAGCCCCAAGTACAAAAACTAAATGAAAATCAAAGAAAGAAAAAAGAAAGAAAGAACTGAAACAGGAAAGAAAAGAAGAATGAAAGAAAGAAAGAGAGTGAAAGTGAGATACATAAAAGCAGGACAGAGGAAAAAAGAAGGAAGAAATAGAAAGAAAGAAAGAAAGAAAGAAAGAAAGAAAGAAAGAAAGAAAGAAAGAAAAGGGAGAGAAGGGAGGGAGGGAGGGAGGGAAGGAAAGAAGGAAGAAGGGAAGGAAGGAAGGAAGGGAAGGAAGGAAGGAAGGAAGGAAGGAAAGGGAAGGGAAGGAAGGTAGGGAAGGAAGGAAGGAAGGGAGGGAGAGAGAGAAAGAAAGAAAGAAAGAAATTTTCAAAGTATAAGCACTTGGTAAAAAGAAAACAAGATGATTTTTATCCAGTAAGAATTATTGAGTGAATTAAAGATCTAAAAAGACACAAGACTATGGTTCAATATATTTTTGAAATATGCTGTTACACCAGTTACTTCGGGGCATTATGCATTTTGAAAATAAACTTAAAAATGTCTTCTACAGTCAAAAGATACCAGCGAGAAACATATGCTCTGCAGACAAATTTATATTTCTTCTGAATGGTCTGGGACATCTGTGGAGGCAAGGCCTGTGATGAGAGAGGAGCCAATCCTGCAGCTGAGCCCACCCTCCCTACCCTGCTGATTTGCATGTGCCCATAGCTCAGCCTACTGCCCAGAACAGTGGACTGCTCTTAAAGGTTGTTTACACCTTGTGTAGAAGTCAGTCCCAGTCAGCACACAGCATGGACATGAGGGCCCCTGCTCAGCTCCTGGGGCTTCTGCTGTTCTGGCTCTCAGGTAAGGAAGGGCAGTACTGGGATTAACTCAGCTTTGTGCATCAGGGCTGTCTGGCACTTCAGGGAAGTCCTCTTTTAACATGATTATCAAGGTAGATATTTGTGTTTATGTTTCCACTGCCAGGTGCCAAATGTGACATCCAGATGACCCAGACTCCATCCTCCCTGTCTGCATCTCCAGGAGACACAGTCACCATCAATTGCAGGTCCAGTCAGGGCATTAATAAGTATTTAGTCTGGTTTCAGCAGAAACCAGGGAAAGCTCCTAAGCGGCTGATATACAAAGCATCTAATTTAGGATCAGGTGTCCCATCCAGGTTCAGTGGCAGTGGATCTGGGACAGATTACTCTCTTACTATCAGCAGACTGCAGGCTGAAGATTTTGCCACTTATTACTGTATGCAGTATGATGAGTTTCCTCCCACAGTGATAGAAGTCATAACATAAACCTCCCTAGAAAGCAGAAGTGAGAGGCTCGGCTGCCCCAGCTGCTCCTCCTTGTGCCTCCAACTGTTGACAGACTTTCTCAGATGTAACTAGATTCTGAAGGTCATTTGAAGATGTTGGTCAAAGTAGCTTGGCAGAATTCTCTCTACTCAACTCTCTGCAGCAGTATAAACATGCAAATGCATCTACTGATTCAATAGATGACACAACTCACAGCATGGGAGGAGTCTGTGAGAGCATTAATTGGGGTTCATTTGGAAAGTGGAGACATGCTAGTTAATCCAAGCAGAAATAAATTGTAAGAAATAAATTAATTTACTTTTTAGTCCTCAAAATATTTGTACAGATTTCATCAGCAAATAACGTGCTTTCTTCTTCAATTCTCAATTTAATTTTTTATTTCATGTTTTATAGCATTTGGAGGAGGACATCCTGTATAATTTTGTAAGTGAGGAAGTGATAGTAACCTTTCAGCATTTAATATCACTGATAAGAAATAATGTGAAATATTTCACTACTAAGTATGATATTTGTCATAGATTTTTACATATGCTTTAAACCTCTAAAATATTTTCCCATTAGTTCTGTCTTCCTTAGACATGAATAGCTTTTGAATTATCATGAATAGCTGTTGTCTTTTAGAAATATTCTCAACTACTGTACTCATATTACCTTGTTTCTGATCTTGTTAGAGTGGTGAATTATATGGCTCAACATAGATTATTTTAAAATCACATATTTTAAAATGGCCTTCCATTTGTGTAATATATTTAACTTGCTCAAAAATGGAGTCTTTGAGAGAAGGAGGAGGAGGTAAACATGGAGGAAGAAGTGGAGGAGGAGAATAAGATGAATTTCTCCTTTAATATGACAAATTTTGACAATGTGAGGAAGAGAAAAGATGAAATTCTCTTCATCGATAGTCACAAAGTTAGGGTGCAAAGATAATTGTGGAATTGAAAAAATACTAATAAAGTTTTATAAAGGTAAATAAAACAGAGGAAAGATATGATGACCTGAGCCACCGACAAGATGCGAAGTGCTGCTCCAACTCCACATGGAAATGACCTTGGAGAAAGCATGGCTACCCAATACTCACAGTTTGGAGAAGCAGGAAAATAGAGCCTGGAATCTATGTAGACCAAGACAATGACCATGTTGATTTTCTACTGTGGAGTAGAAAACCTGAATCTAGAGAGATGAATGCTGATATCTGCAAGTAGATGAGATTATTCATTGTGGGGTCAGAGAAAAAGCCCACTTCTTCTGTTGGCCTTCTGTATTACTGAATTGCACATGTACAGGCACACTGTTGTGGCCAATAAAATAATGCTTTTTGGTTTTTTGTGTTTTTTTGGTTTTGTAATTTTATTTTATTGTAAAGATGCCGTACAGTTACTCCTTCCCTTGCTGATGTCCCACTATCCCTTCCTGCCTCACCTCCCACAAAGTAATGCTATTTTTTACTAATTGTAGTAATGAGGCAAGAATGGAGCAAAAAAGGAATAAGAGATTCAAGTAAAGAGAGAAAGAAAAGAAAGAAAGAAAGAAAAAAGAAAGAAAGAAAGAAAGGAAGGAAGGAAGGAAGAAAGAAAGAAGGAAGGAAGGAAGGAAGAAAGAAGGAAGGAAGGAAGGAAGGAAGGAAGGAAGGAAGGAAGGAGACAGAAAGAGAGAGAGAGAGAGAGAGAGAGGAGAGAGAGGGAGAGGGCAAGGGAGAGGGAGAGGGAGAGAGGGAGAGAGGTTAGTTCCTAGCAGCAAATTAGTGGGTCTTATATAGCAGATGTCACAAATACAAGATTATCTCATCCTGTCTGACTGGATCTTGAAGAAAATGTAGAGCACAACATACTTGTTTGCTGATACACAGCTATCCCATTTGGGGAAATGATATAATTTATCCTAATCTCAAACATAAATGTACAAGGCAAAACTCAAATGAGATGAGTGGAAAGTGTCTGTTTTTTCCACCCCTGTCTTGTCAGTTACAATGAAAAATGCTTAATTTTCCATGAACTAAACAGAAGTATACCTTTATTATATTTGAAAAATAAAGCATTTTTAGGGTTGAATGTTTTATCCCCATTTATTTGCAGTCTCCCATCACACTCTTACTCGTGAAAGAGGAACTGTAACCTCAAAAACCATGAACCAAAATAGGACTTTGTTTTCATAACTGGTATTTAGTCATCTTAACAGAAGCTAACAAGAATGGTGAAGTAACCATGATAACTATTACCTTTTATGTTTCTTTCTGTTTCTATTTATTTATTTTATTATCTGTCAGTAGTTGTATAAGGGAGATTCAATTTATCAGGTAAGTTTATCGGTACGTTTTGATCAATGTCACCCATTTCATAATTCTCCCTATCTCGCTCCACTCATCCTCTCAATTAACCGTTTTATTTTGATTCTTATTTTACAATACATTTTTTCACAAATTTCTTTTATAGTTACATCTGGTAGGGCTGGTTCCTGTGACTTGTGACACCTGATTCACACATCATCTGTATTCAAGGTAATACAATTTAGTGATCAGAATATTCCAGAATCCACCAGTATAACAACCATGGAAAGGGGATAGGAGTCTTCTCAAAGATTCATCCCACAGCAATTGAGGACAGTCACCAAGAACTACATGGATAATTCTTCATGAAGACTCACTAGCATCTCTTAGGTTTATGCTCCAGTTGGCCCTTCGCCTTCTTCATTGAAAAAAAATTTACTAGTCCAAGAGTTAAGCAGTGTAGTCCCCAACTCAAACCAACCTTCATGACATCTAGCAACTTCAACAAGGAAATTTGTTCCTTAATTCTGAAAATCTTTCAGGACCACCACTGGGTAGGAAAAGAGAGATTCATCACAGGGAGACTGTATACTAATTGAACAATTTGGGGACTCTGAAAAAGCTTACCGAATAAATTAACAGTCCCATTTTAATTTCCCTTGAAAAGAATATCCACGTTAAAATACATCTGACTACTTAGGGCTATAAACCCCTGGATAACTGTGCTGAAAGAAGGCCAGAGCTCTCCACGTTTTAAACACAAAGCAAATATATTTATTTGCTGGTATATTAGAGGTGAGGTGCCAGAAGTAGAGAAAATCAAAGCTGACTGCTGCATGTGCTTGAACCTGGGAAAACAGAGAATTTAGAATAATATTTCTGGGAAAGGGCAGACCAACAGAAAACAAATTGGGAAAACAGATAGGAATCAGGACTTCAAGAGGAAACCATTAGGGGCTGGTAAGGTGGCTCAGTGGTAGAGTGCTTGCCTTGTATGAATGAGGCAGTGGGCTCGACTCCTCAGCACCACATAAGCAGAAAAAGCCAGAAGTGGAGCTGTGGTTCAAGTGGCAGAGCACTAGCCTTGAGCTGAATAGCTGAGGGACAGCACCCAGACGCAGAGTTCCGGCCCATGACCAGCAAAAAAAAAAAGAGGAAACCATTAGAATTTTGTGATCACTGACTGCAAATGTTCCTTCAGTGGCTGTGAATGTGAAATTCTGAAGGACAAAGGAGAAGTCAGAACTAGAGGTCCAAAGCTGGGACACAGAGCAATCCTTAGGCGACATTGTACATAAATGAAAGCCTGCTGGACCCTGGAGGGAGTCCACTATTTAGAAGTCAAAAGGACAGGGGACAGGAATTGAACTATGAGTCATGTTTCAGAACCAGGACGCTGTTTGAAAAACATCTTTTCAATTTTGAAATGTAGCATCAATGTGTTAAATGAAGAGAAATTTTTTTCATAGTATCTCTAGAGTTAGCTCTAGAGGCTGAGAGTTGAAAATAAACAGTTTGGAGCTGGTCTTGGCAGACAAATCTAAAAATCTCTTATCTCCAAACAACCAGGGAAAAAGGTAGAAGTGGAGGCATGGCTCAGGTGGTAGAGTGCCAGTCCTGAAATGAAAAGCCAAGTGAGAGCTGAGCAATGTCTTCAGTTGAACACCAGCACAGGTGAGGGGTGTGGGGGTGGTGGGACGTTGGCCCTTGCTGCCCCCTCAATGTCTAGGGATAGTTATTGTTCATCCTCTTTCCTCTTTCAAAAATGCCTTCAATATTCTGTGTTCCACAACTCATTTAGTACATAACTTCAGAACTGCATTCAAAGACTTGAGTATAAAGTCTTTGAAGAACTCTACCATTGTTATATTTAAAGGCCACTCAGAGCTTTTGCCTAGCTTATTCACCTAGATTTCTAGTACTCTTCCCAACATTTAAATCCACCCTCCCACACACCTCCTTCAACCTATAGTCACAGGCTATACCTGCTCTGTACATGGCAGCACCTCTGCTGTCTGGTACTCCAGGGTTTTAATTGAAAGTTTATCCCACAGCTGTCAACCTAGCCTGTAACTAGACACAGTATCAGAAATACAGCCAAACAAAAGGCCCAGAATTAGAGTTCAAATACTGTAGAGCTACGGTACAAAACAGTCCCAACTGACATTTTTGCCTTGTTTTGTTGGTTTTGCTTGCTCCTTTACTTGTACTGGTACCCACTATATACCTTAGGGTGCCCTTGAACATGAGATCTTCCTGAGTGCTGATATTAGAATTTGAACTAGCCTTAACGCCCTTACTGACATTTCCTCATTGACTAAATACAATCCTATAGTGTATGCAAAGAAAATGTCCTGCTCCAATGTGGCGCTGTGACTGTCCTGTGTTGGACTTGTTGGAACTATTAATTTCCCAATTTTCCTCTTCAAGCAACAGAAACTGTGGTAAATTGCTACATAAAACCAACACAGAGGCTTCTTACTGAGTTTTCCTGTATGAATTGTCAATGCAAAAGGATCTAAGAGACATGTATGTGCCTCTTTACTTTCTGTTGGGCACTGCAAGCTTCCTTGCCCAGAAGTCAGGGCACACAGATTCTCAGGAAGATGGAGGAAGTGCACAAGTCCAGGGCTGTGTGGGGTGCAATCAGCTGGACAGACTCTGAAAGATACAAAATAAGGACTTAAGGGTATTATACTCCTTTTCTTGGCTCTAA